CCCCCCCCCCCCCCCCCCCCGCTCAAGCAGGAGAAAATTTAGTGGAGCAAATTTAGTGGCTCCCGAAACGCACAATGGGTGTACAACGTGTGACAATCTTTCTTGTTCCTTTAGAACAGGGGTCTTCAAACTTGGCTCTTTTGTGACTTGTGGACTTCAACTCCCAGAATTCCTCAGCCATCGTGCCTGAACTGAACTGAACTGCCAATTCAGATCAAATCAAACCAAGCACTGCAAGTCAAAGGAAAAAAATTATTACAACTATGTACCTCAGGAAACTGATAATATTACAAAACAAGACAATTGGAAGGTTGTGAGCAAGAGAATTGTAATAACTATCAAAGTTATACCCAGAAAATGTCATTGGCATACTTCATATAGCAGCGTACCTGCTCAAGAGTCAAATATAATTTTGCAGAATTGTTGCCATGACAACAATGGATGCTCAAAGAGGGGGGGAAAAATACCCAGGGCTGAAAGCATACACCTCAAAAATTTGAAAAAGAAAAAAACCAAAAGGGTTTCTTGTTAAATTAAAAAAAAAAAGGAAGATGAACCAAATCATATGGAGCACTGGAATAGGACTTTGCTCAGGATCCCAAAATGTCTACAGCAGGGTCCCCAACCTCCAGCCCGTGGGATGCCAGCAACCGGTCCACACAAACAAGCAAAGCCCCATCCGTGGGATGCAGGCAGCACACAAAACCAGGTACCCTCTGGTCTGTGGAAAAACCTTTCTCCACGGAACTAGTCCTGGTGCCCAAAAGGTTCGGGACCTCTGGTCTAGAGCCGATCCTGAAAATAGAGGTTTCTGTGCCCAGAAAGTCTTAGACGATATTCATTTCTCACATCCTCTATGATTAGAAGACAAAGTTAGTTCATGATTGGTTAAAAGCTATAGGAACTGAATGGAATTTCTAAGGAATATGGCAAGCGAAAGTTAAATTTTAATCTTTCTGACAACTTTTGGGTTTTGACAATTAAGTGGGCTACTGCTATAGAAATGGCTAGTAGTTACTATTTGGTATAATTAAAAAGTTGATATCTCAAAGGTGCTTTTTTTCAGGAGGCAACTGGACTTCCTTGTTTTTCTTTGAAGACGTTTCGCTTCTCATCCAAGAAGCTTCTTCAGCTCTGACTGGATGGTGAGGGAGAGTCAGTCAGAGCTGAAGAAGCTTCTTGGATGAGAAACGAAACGTCTTCAAAGAAAAACAAGAAAGTCCAGTTGCCTCGTGAAAAAAGCATCTTTGGGACAACCATGACCTGGATGACTGAGAATCTCCGTAAAAAGTTGATACTATAACTTTATTGACATACCTGAATGCACCAACAAATTTGCAAGTTACTGCTTTTTTTATAAATTTCTTTTTCCCTCTTCCATCACTTCATTTCCTCTATCCCACTTCCTTTTTTTTCCATTCTTTATTTTTATTTGTATTTTATATTAAGAAAAAAAACTTTTAGTAAAAAATATATTTAAAACATATGGCAAGCGACAGACAAGATCTCAGGAGTTGTAATCAAATTTTTCCAGTAATAATGGATCACTGAAATCCCTAAATGCAGCCACTAGATCAGTAATAGGCCAGGCTAAGTGTTTTCCGTGAATATAATTGAAGCATAGTTACAGAGATTAAAAGCTTACATTCTATTTCTATTATGTTCTAAGCCATAGTCTGGTTTAATTATTTTGACTTTCCTCTGTGATGGGAACCAAGACCTCTTAAATTTGTCAACCGTGGTTCATAGCTCAGCATTTTGTTTGAATCCAGCAAAAGTATGGCTTATTCAATGAACCGTAGTTAAACACTGTCAGCTTTCTTTCAATATCAGAAGATTTTCCTCAAAACATCTTGCTGCCTGTTTGGAAACTAGCTCCTCAACAAGGCACTTCCTTCACCTTATGGCTGTTGCATTGCTCCTTATCCTGTTTGTAAAATCCTGGGGTTTGTAGAATCAAAAAAGGAGCCATTGAGCAATGCAGGAAGCTATATTTAAACACTAATAGCTGCCTTGGTTCTACTTCAGCGGTTCTCAACCTGTGGGTCACGACCCCTTTGGGGTCGCCTAACCTCCTGCGGCTCTGGAGCCTCCTCCGCCATTTGCAGAGAGAGAGAGAGACAGAGACAGAGAGGCACTTGCGCTTCCCTTCTCTCTCTCTTTCTTTCTTTCTCTCTCATGCAGACTTGTCCCCACGCAGAGGTCCTGATTGGCCCTGCAGCCGGGTGCCCTGTCCCCTGGGAGAAGTGTGGCCAGGAAGGCCCTTTCCCTGGCTGGCCCCTCCGAGGTGCACGTGGCTGGGGAACCGTGCAGGGAAGTCCAGGGATCCCTGCAGAGCCTCCGCTGAGCGGGCCAGCCCTCCCGCAAAGCATTAGGAAGGTTGAGAACCACTGGTCTACCTGAACATATCTAGAAACAGGGAGTAGTGATTCAGTGGTTAAAGATGCTGAACCTATCAGCTGGAAAGATGACAGCCTGGGTTTGAGATCCGAGCTCCGTGCAATGGGGTATGCTCCCATTCCTTGCACCAGCAGTTCGAAAGCATGCAATTGCGAGTAGATAAATAGGTACCACTTTGGTCGAAGGTAACAGTGTTCTGTGCTCCTTGGCGTAGAGCAGGTGTCCCCAACCTGTGGGCCGCAGCCACTAGGCTGTGGGACAGGGTGGCCAATGCATGCGTGTGTGCTCACCCCCTCACTTGTGCTGGTGCCGTGGCTGCGGGGGCACAAAAACAGGACACCGTACCATGGGTGTGAAAATATGCCATCGCTGCCACGCCTCAGGGCGCGAAAACGCCGCTGCAACGCAGGGTGCAAAAAGTGCCGCCGCCACATTGCAAGGCACAAAAACGGCCACCACCGTGTCAGGGGACACAAAAACAAGGTGCTGTGCCATGCAAGAACAGGGCAGTGCTAGCGAGTATCACATGGGCACTAACCCCACCCCGTTTGCCGCACGCACATGTTTGCGGCCCCGTGCGCACATGTGCACATGTGCACAATGCTTCCTCCTCTCTTTTCCTCCGGTCCGCCAACCGACAAAGGTTGGTGACCTCTGGCGTAGAGTCATGAGATGCTGGCTCCCTCAGCTAAGAAATGGACATGAACACTGCCCCTAGAGTTGCACACAACTGGACAGGGGAAACCTTTACAAGTTTACCTTTATCTAGGAAAGGGGGGACCACTACCGGGCAGAGCTATTTGAACTGATCCAGAAGGATTCCCAAACTGCGACCCTCGAACAGGCAATCAACTTCCTCAAATACGAATTCCTGGAGTTTAGGTTCTGCGATTGTCCAGATCAACCGGTTCTGGCTCCAAGCACCAAATCCAGCAGCAGCAGGCACTCAACCAGCTCCTGCCCCATTGATACTGTCTGTCCTGGTGGTGCTAGTGGCCCCAGTGGCACCTGTCACTCCGCCAGCACCAGGGGCAGCCGTCCCCCTAGCACAGGTCACCTTCCCAGGTCAGGGAGGGTGCCAACCACCAGGATTAGGTGTTCCCAATGAATCCCACTGCTCCGCTACCTCTACCGCCAGGAAGATTTTCCTAACATCCACCTGAAATCCGTCTTCTAAATTCAGTTCCATCCAGAATTGTGGCTACAGGTAGTCCTTATGACCACCAAAAATATTTTCTGTGGCTAAGCAAGGTGGTGATTAAATGAGTCACGCCTGACTTTACCCACCTGTGTTACCCCAATTGTTAGCAAATCACTGCAGTTGTTAAATGAATCACACAGTCCTTCAACAAAGCCGGCTTCCCCCATTCATGTTGCTGGTTTAGAAGCCAGCAGGGAAAGTCGCAAATGGTGATCACATGACCCCGGGACACTGCATGCTGGTTGCCAAGCACCCGACTTTTGATCATGTGACCATGGGGATGCGGCCACAGTCCTATGCGCGAAGACCCGTCGTATCTTCGAGCAGTCGCTAAACGAATGGTTGAAAGTCGAGGACTACCTGCGGGCCAGTCAGCAGCATCTTAAAATGCTTTTAGTATAACCCAAGCGACTCCGGGACAAAAATAAACATGTTAGAAATGGCACGAAGGTTTAAATGCAAATTCTCAACTTCGGACTGGAAAGCGTTATTATCCTGACACATTTATTGTTAAGATATTCTATGTATTCAACATCTCTCTGGGCTGAGTGGTCAACATAGCGATGGCAACAACCCACGAGTGATCATTCTATCTAACTCTGAATAAAAGGTGTTATATTTAGCAACTACGTTAGGAAAAAACACCCGATCTCTTAAAAGGTGAGTCTTTCCTTAAAAGAAGGTTTCAAGATGGACAGGAAACCTTAACTATGCTCATTAAGCCATAAAGTGACGCAGTTTGGTATTTAACTCTTTCTCTTTGTTCAGCAATTCTGTGCTGTGCTTCCTGTAAGCTTCAAAGTGCATCCGGAGCTCCGAGTAGGCTTGTTCTGCCCCCTCAAGACGGCGCTTTAGATCTCTAACTCGTAGGTTACTGTCCACCATTGCAGCTTCTGTCTCAAACTGTAGTTCGGCTGCCTGCTTGGCCTTCTCCATATCCTCCGCCTTCTTCTCTAGCTGAAGGATCTCCCGTTGCTTTTCCTGAAGTACCTTGCCTCTCTCCATGGCCAGGTTCAGCAGGTCCTCCTTCTCCTTTGTGAGCACCTCCAGCTTAGCTTGCAGGCCGCTCTCAGCTTCTCTGAGCTGGCTCTCTGCTTGTTCCAGTTGGTTAAGGACCCGTTTCTGCTTCTTCTCCAAGACGTCCAGTTGCCTTTTCAAAGAGTCTGTTTCCTTGGTGTAGACTCTGG